GTGGTCCTTAGCTTGTCCTCTTTCGCTTTCCAATCATGCAGCATGCTCTTCGAAATGCTAAATCTTCCTAAAGTTTCTGCCTGTCCGTGGATTTTATCGAAATCGATGGCTTCTAGTTTACGCTGGGACGTATAGGAGACTCTTGTTGGCTTCATTTTCGAGCTGAAGTCGATCTTGCAAAGATACGCACAGCAGACACTGCGAAGACTAGCCACCAATTTGAGCACAAAGAGTGTGCTTCGTCATCGCACTGGAAGAATCATCTTTGACAGCTCCCGTTGAAGAGCGCGAGAAGCGGCTTTAAGATTCCTTTCGATTTCGAGTGCCTGCCTATTGTACCTACCTACCAACCTACCTATGCTAGCTACCTACCTACCTACCTACCTACCTACCTACCTACCTACCTACCTACCTACCTACCTATTGAAATTTCTCTGTCCATCTGGCTAAGTCCCCATGAATAAATTGGAAATTGACCTACCTACCTACCTACCTACCTACCTACCTACCTACCTACCTACCTACCTAGACACGATTTTAGCGGCGGAATCGGAACGTGCTCAGAATGTTTTGGGAACGCTTTTACGTTGGCTCTCCGGCATAGTTTAGAGGGCCCTGCATATGTAGTATGTGATACATACATACACACACACTTGTGTAGAAAACGCTCGACGCGATGAGAACGTTCAATATCAAGCACAAAAAAACTGGGAGCAGTCACGCGGAGAGAGACGCGAAAATCGAGCGAGGGGCTTAGCGAGCGAGAAAGCGAACAGATGGACGAGGCGAGCATTCGTTGGATAGATCGGTCGATGGTCCTTCGGAAGGGAAAATTTTCATTTTCTAATCGTTTCAGGTTCAAATGGGCGACGCGGGCACGTACACTTGTTCATCCATAGCCGACGGCAAAGAGGTTTCTGTTTCATTCGCACTGTTCGTCTACAAAGCGATCTCGTTCCAAGGAACCAAAGATGTTCAAACGGCGACCGAAGGTGACGACAAAGCTGTTATCAGATGCGAGGCCAGTGGTTCTAAGACACCGGACTTCTCCTGGCAACTCAACGATCGCGCCATCCGAGACAACAAAGGTATGTATTATGACGAAACAAGCAACACGGTCCGCCGCCGAGGAGGATGTGCAGAAGCGGCGGACAGGACGACCGCTCCGTCGAGTTTCGGTACGGCGAATATCTATGACGACCTTGGTCTGCGATGCTCGACATTGTCATCACATTCCGTCGGCTGCGTCGGAATTGTCATCGCTCGCTTCCCCATTGTTGTTGATTACTGCACAGACGAAGAGGGGAATAATATGTATGTTTGATCGGATTGCTGTCCGCGAGCGCTCGCGATAGGTGCACACGAGACGCCCCGTCCGGAATCTGCGGACATGAGATCGATCTCTGACCACGGAGGCGTCGGCGCCAATATGCGGTGGTTGTCCTGTGCGATTTCGGTGGAGCCATGGATCGACTCTGTCACGTTAGCGACAGAATGGCGGTTCCATTCTTCCATGGGCTCGCTCTCCTACTGCGGGAAAAATTGAGCATTCATCGCAACGACCGGGGGGCTCCACCGAGGACGGACTCGATCGGGTGAGAGAAAAGTACAAGACCGATGGCTCGCTAACGCCATCGACGCCGCGCCGCCCGTCCGCTGACAGCTTCCTGTACGCCTTCAGGTCACGAGGATCTCCGCGAGAAGACGGTGATGACGGCGACGATCCGTATCTCCAATCCGACACCCCCGCCTCTCGGATCTTCCCCTTGGATCCCTCTCTGTTTCCCGTCGGAGAACCTCGGGGATAGTATTTGAATCGCTCCCGTCTGTCAGAGAATCGGACCGAGGTCTTTCTTGGAAAAATTGAGTGTTGCCCTCCTCTCCCAGGGAACTCGGAATGAGTCCGGTCAATCGGGGACGATATTTCCCCGCTCGCTTCGATTCTCGTTCGATGTCCGGCTTGATTGTCCAAAGATCCACCCATTGCGACGGTCTATTAATCAGAACGGGCTAGCGTCGCACAAGAAGCCCTCAGTGAGTCATCATCAGCTGTTTCTTCCTGTTCTGGTTTTGATAGTCAGCGAATCATCGAGTTAAGAGCGGATTTCAGCATGCTGTCGGCAAGCCAGCTAACAACTCGGAGACTTTGTACACACCCATCGGAGAATAGGGAGACCAACGGAGAACGAATCGAATGGGGACACCCTGTGGCGCCGCCTACGGACTACAGTTCGTCGCTTTGCCGACTGCATGGAAAACTGTCTACGCCCTGGCCGCCCCACCGCGTTGTCTTGCTTGCGTAGCTCTTATGGGCTCCCCTCCGAAACAAACTGAGTCATCATCGAATCATCGTGTCCTTCGGTCGTGGTGACGGTACTTGCGATGGTGTGTGACCGTGGCCAGTGAGCTCCAATGAAGCGGTATAAATGTATTTGCAAATGGAGCTCCAACGCACACGCGCTCGCGGGGTAGGCGGGTGAGCGAGCGAGCGAGCTGCCGGTCAGGCGAGACATATCAAGGCACCGTATCCGCTTGTCAGAGCCTGCTTGAGAAATTGCTTAGTTGCAGAATCGGCCGCATTGCGTAGCTAGCCAAGTGGACAATTTGATTTTCCACCAACAGTGAGGGCTAACCTCACCCAGACTCGCCGGCCGCCGGACCGATGGACAGACAGCCGGAGTCGCCTATCGAAACCAAGCCGAGCACAATAGATCAGGTGCACGGAACTCAAACAAGGGAAATAGTTTGGCTAGGCGAGGGGGTCGGGGCTCCGAGCGGTCTGTCGTCAGAAGTCTCGACCCTAAACAAGCATCCAGCTAGGACTGGCAGCCTGGCTGGCGAGCTGGGCATCCGACCGACAAATCGAGCGGCCAGGGAGAGAAGCCGGTGCACTCGGGCGAGGAGCGGATTAATTTTGTTATGACCGTATGACGATTACGATGATTTGAGATTTGTCATTGCCGCATCCGCTCCTGATTCATGGTCTACGATAACTCAATTTCGCGCCTGAGTGAAATTCATCACCGCCCCAGAAGTACCTCCGGTTTCCTTTCGGAGGCTTCCAAGCAATGGGCACTCTCGAAAGTCCATTTGCATTTTTCGTTCCGTCCAAATTAGTAGAACACCCACCCGTCCACGCGAGGGGTCAAGAGAATATTCATTTAGGGTTTTATGGACTTTCACTTTTCGCTGGTCCGCGCGGAGTGGTTCTTCCCGCGCCCTCGTCCGCACGTCGGTCGGTCGCTCGCTCGGTTCCACCGACGCCCCTCGTCCCCCTTCCCGGTCCGTTCGGCCGCAGTTTTTCCGAGGTCCCGTGTAGTTTCCGTTCGTGCTCTTGTTCTCTTGAACATGGACGGTGGCGCTGTGGTGGCGGCGGCCGGCGGCGACGTGGGCACATCTCCTTTTTGTATCCCATGTCTGTCTGCAGTCCGTTAGCTATTACTATTTAATCAAGAGGGATTTGTCTCTCTGAGGCCCACTGAGTTTTACAACTGGGGACTTTATTAGCTGTTAAATAAAAGCTCACCCGCGCTCCTTGTTCTCTTCCGTTCACCGGCATCGACGGTGAACTCGAGAGACGGGAGGGAACGGAGTCGGATAACTTCAATTTCACTCCCTCGGCCGAAGTGAGGGGTGTCCGAGCGAACGAGACTGGGTGGCGAAGGAGGAGAGAACGAGAGGGTACTGGGGGGGGGACGAGGGAGGAGAGAATGAGAGGGGATAGGGGCGGAAAACTAGGGAAGAGAGGACACGAGGGGAAAAGGAAGCGGGAATAGGATTTTTGGTCAGCGATGCTCGCTGGGTGGTATTCCACCATGTAAATATTGCATGTCCCCACCGTCATGTCGACACCCGGCGGACTCCCCGCGGGTGATTCCATGTGCTCGCTTCCTTCCTCCATCTCGTGAGTTCCAGTGAGTGATACCCTACACTCCCCAGCGGGTAATAACATTTCTAATCAAACTCCCTGCCTCTCCTCTGAGTCATCCTTGTCTCTGACTTGTCGGCAAAACGATTCCGTGATGCCTCCTCGCCTGCCCCGAACTTGCTTCCTTGGATCTCGACTTGGAACCCGCGGGCGCTCACCCAGCCCCCACTCGGTGGAGGAAAGGGGGGTGACGGGAGATGGGACCACGGAACTCCAACTCCGTAATTCCTCGCGCGTTTACGGCTTAGCCACTCGGAGCGTTCCGATGTCAAGCCCGTAGTTTACTGACGAACAAAATCTTCGGGACATATGTACGACGCTCGTACAATCGCTTCCACAGAAGCAACAGCTCCACCTTCGAAAAGCGCTCTGCGGGGAACACAGATTGACGAAGTTGACAGATCGCTCCTTATGCTTGTAGTATGGCTACGCTGTCTCCCGCAGTCGAGTCACCGTGGATGCGGGTTGCTGGTTCGTGGCTTCTGTTGCGCGGATAACTGCTGAGCAAAACATTGGGGTCGGAGGAAAAGCTCGAGAGCCAGGAGTTTTGAAAGCTAGCCGGGCCGACCAATTCGCGGAGTGCAAGACTATGTTTGTTCAACATTTTACGGGCTGTATTCAAGCGGCGCTCTGAGACGATTGGGGTGACTTTCACTGAATCGCTTGCTCCCCTCTTTATGCGAGCCCGGGGTTTCGCCCATTGGAGTCGAAACCCTTATGTCATTCATGAGTTCGCTGGCGAACGTTTCTGCAGCGATTCAATTCAGCAGTAAGATCGAATTTTGAGCCCATTCGACTTGATGAACAGAGGAGGATTAACGCCTGTGCTATGGATCTACAGAGTTCATGTCGGACCGGCCATTTCATTTTTTCCGCTCGTATGTATGCTCAAGGTCTCAATGAGAGAATCGTCAATCATTCAGACCAGGGGCGGATCCAGCTTTTTTCTTGGGGGGGGCAAGTCATATTTTCAGGGGGGAAAGAGCCGAAAATGATGACGCGCCACCTCGCGGCCCATGCTTTTGTATAGGGATCGAAGATTCTTGGGGGGGGCCATGGCCCCCTGGCCCCCCCCCTCGGATCCGCCACTGATTCAGACGGCTCCCTCGGGGTTCCATCGTCGATTCTCACAGCGAGTGATTTTCAACGAGGAAGACTTGCTCCACCAGCTGCTAGTTTCGCCGCATAAATATGCAGCTGATATTGGTAGTGAGTTTCTGAATCCTCAACCCAACTCGAGTTGGAAAAAAGCGATTTCTGGAGAGGAATCCATCAGGAAGTATCGGGGAGACACCTCAGAGCAGCTACCCCGTGAGGTCCTCGACCGTGATATCCAACATGAGGTTTTTCCGTCCCTCGACCCTCCGTGAGGTCGGCTGATGTCGTACGACTCTAGACGCTTGCAACGAGCGCTCGAATGAACGGACGGAAGAGCTCATATGAGCGCCGGCTCTCGGTCAGAAGATCTAAAGGTCTGCGCCGGCGGTTTTCCGAGCAGCATTGCGGACCGTGGGCGTAATTGCTTAATGACCGCCATAAATGTTTCATTGTGGTCGTGGTCTCTTGCGAGAGCGCAGCGGGCATAATATTATTATACTGTTATTATCAAGTGGCATTATTTCGCGGCTGCGTTCATGAATTATTTTATGAGTGCGACCCGCTTCTTCTCGGAACGAGGGCTTTCCAGAGCGTGCCTGCGTCCGTCCGTATGATGCACTAAACCTGATGCCTCCCCTCACGCCCTCCGTCGTCTCCGTTGTCCTTCTCGGACCGTACCCGTTTCGCGAAGCGGTTTTCGCGCCTGAATCTCAGCGTGCGAGGCTCAGAAGCTACCGACGTTTCAGAATCGGTGCGCAGGAGACTGTCGACGGTCTCTCGCGAGAGTACGAGCACGGAAAGCGATTCACAGGATGTTTTCACGTTGTATTTCTGGCCGGAACTCCTCTGGAAATCAATGTCCGATTCGGAAATCGACATCTCTACCTTCATGGCAATCCTGCGCTTAGTAACTCCCGCAGAAGATTGATATTCTAGCCCTGTGTCGCTCTATCCACTGTTATGAATATTCGAGATGACGGAGACGGCGACGGAATCGAAGTGGCACTGCCTGCACGAGCGTCCGGAATATGGCCCCTTCAGCCATTTGAATCATTGGTCACCCGGGAACCCTGATATAGGCTCTCTGGAGAACACTTCTCAATCGCGTTCTTTCCCTCCACGACCCGAGCGAGAACAATTCAGTAATTGAATTCTCTCCTCGCTCATGATTTCTCCCTGGCTCTTCTTGCCTTATTAAGATGATTCCCTCGAATGTAGACGCTCCCGGAGGTTCAGGTGATGCTACCGCAAGCAGGATTTTTCATGTACGCTTGATCTTCTCGTATTCATGGCGTCCGCCGCAGCGTCGATCTTGACTTCGGGGAACTTTCGTTGGCAATGAAATCGATCGCAGAGATATCTGCGATAGACGCACAAGATAGCGGGCCGCAGAATACGGTTCTCGGTACAAATATGGGGTCGATTAGAGCGTCCTGAGGCGAACGTGAAGCAATGCCCCAGACAATGGGTTCTGTTCCGGCGCTGTCTGGACGAGGGCTTGCCTGCCTGACTACCAGCCACCGTGTTCTCCTGATGCCTTTCGGGTTTTCCGACCTCGCCTTACGCCTTGGAGAGGGCATAGGAGCGAAGACTATTCCAATATTGTCAATGCATTCCTTCCAGCGAAGCTGCGGAATAGGAACCCTACGATTCGAGTCGACGAACGACCAACTCATGCAAGGGATGCCACGGGATAACTCGACCTTTGAACGTGGTCGTTTGATTCCATATTCATGTTACGTAGGATGATACATTCGATAATAATTGCTATTCTTAGCGAGAGGAGAGGGGAGAATCGGTCCTTCGGGACTGAGCTGGGCATATTTTCGAGCTCGGTCCGAACTTCCAGGGCGATTTCGCGATATTCATTGAGATCACTGTGAATCAATCTTCGAATTCTCGAGTACTCCACGTCGGATCCGAAGGCTCCTCAAAGATAATGGCGATGGCCGGAGAAAAGCTCCCCGATGGAACGCTCCGCTCTCAGAGTTCCGGACATTTTTCAGAGGGGTTTCGCTCCTCCCTGGGTCGGAAAATCTCTTTTCAGGCTACCCCGCATCGAGCGGCTCCGAAGCTCTGCATATTGGTAATCGCCGAGCGGATGCGTAATTCCGAGCGGGAGAGTTGATGACCTTGGCGAAGCTTGGCCTCACTCCCCTGCTCACACAAAGAGAATCCTTCCGACGCGATGGAGGGTTAGCTGCGAAAGTTGGTCAGCTTATGCGTGTTATGCCAGTCGCCGGTTCGCACGACGGCGAACCGGAGCTCCCTTGGCTGCGGGAACGAATATTTTCCTCCTATTGAGCGACTCCCGAACGCAAGGTTGAGAAAGTATTCGTGTCGGCCGCGTGGGCAATTCATGGACATGGGGAAACATCAATCAACTTTGCTATGGGTCGTCTAATTGGAATGCTTGACCGATTGATTCCCCGTAGCCATCTGTTGCCGTCGACTGTACCCTGTTGGGTGCCTTTGCTAATGCGCAGGTGGAGGCCGCCGGAGTCACCGCGTGAGTCCGAAACAGGAGAGGTAGAGGTTCGTCATTTAATTGGAACACGACAGTTCAGACGGATCCGAGTGGCGTACGTTTGCTCCACACTGGGGAATCGTCTCCCTTCGATCGAACGTGCAATTAAAAGGAGTCATGGCTCACTGGCTGATAGCGGGAGCGTTGAACTGACGCTACTATTCGGCGGGCAAAACTTCATTCATTTAAAAGGAATGGATTACCCACCCCACTGCCGTGTGCCGCGGCGGAGCCAATCGCCACCAGCCGGAGCCTAATTGAAATCCTTGTCGCAGGGTGTAGTTGTCTTCCGACGGGACTTTCCCCATCCACATTCGAAACTCTCTCCGTTCTCCTCTATTGTTCCTCGTTGGCTTGACGCCGACGACGCGTACTGGGAACGTTCCTCGCCCGCAGAGAGTTCTCATCATCTGTTCAGATGCTTTACGGCACCGATCTGGATTGTCGTGCGTACGTTCGCTCTACGCTTTGTGGCCTACGCGAGGATTACTTATCGCTGTTGTCGATCGCGATGCTCATTCGATCCTCCGCATCCAGGAGTAAGGCTTATGATGATGTTTCCGCTTTCCTGGGGCTTTTCGGTCAGAGTATCCTGGATTTTTCTGTCACGTGACGGAAAACGGCTTTCGGTTTCCCGAGACCCGAGACCCGTTGGGATTGGGAATTGAATTTTTAGCGGCGCTATTCTCCCCAGCGGGCGCAGGGGGATCGCGGGGCGGGATTCACTGGGTTCCGCTTGTCGAGGCCAGTTGAGTGGCTCCTCCGTTTGGGTGGGGTGCGACGACAATGGACTCTGTTGAATTTATTGAGAGTGCGCTCGGGAAGTTCCTCGAGCTCTCACTCCGATTCAGGAGGAGAATGGCCCGGTATATGATTCAACCAGCGTGGGGCGAAGCTTCCACAAGAGTGGGAGTGGTCTTCATCAATGTCGTCTCGGTTGTTGTTGTTGCTGGATTCGCCGGAAATTCGTTGCCTCAGACGCAGCATACTCGAGCCGCGGATGTCAGGCGTTATTGCTTGCTCGCTTGCGCTCTCCCTGTGAGGTGTAGGCGACAAGCGGAGGAACTCAGGAGCTCAGCTCGTTCACCATCTGCATGGGACATGTCGAGTGGTCGACGCAGCCGTTGCAGGTTCGGCTCATTTCAAGAGATACTCGAATATGAGTGGCGATGTGCGTGCGCGCAAGGGAGTACGGAATTCAATTATGGATTCGATTAGTTCCGTACGCGCCTTCTTCATCGCTCTCCCTGGGTCGCATGATCCTCAAACTCGCGAACGAACGAATAAAGGAGCGAGTCTGCACCTAAGCTCGCCCGGCGAGCTGCTATTGAGTTTGTGCTGTCTTAAGGTGTATCGCCACTGCACATCCTTTCAGTTCTTGCGCTTGTGCTTCTCGAAGATTCCCCAAATCAGTCGAAGGAACTTGCTCACCGTATAACAGGCGGGACGTTTCCTTTCCGTATCGTCTCAGAAAGTGTATCATCTCAGTGTCCTGCAGTGCCTTCCCCATAAGTCTATACCTCATCTCGATTTTCGAAAAGTACCCGAATACGTCCGAGAACCAATCGAGGACGACAAAGCCTTCGCCGAGGTAGACCGAGAGCACCATCGGCAGACCACCGTCGTGAAGGTCATCGCCGACGTTGGACTGGTCGGTCGACCGTTTAGATAGTGGCTAGTAGCTGAATTTCTTTCTTCTTTTCAACGTCCAATACTTGCCAATGCGAACGAGAAGCGGGCGGGTGAGGCAAGCACTCTGCACTTGATGGCACAGACGAGGTCCTCCGAAAGGAGAAAAACTCCTGAAGGGAAAAAAACAGGAGCCGGCGACTCCGTCATGCCGGCAGCAGCCTTCCTCAGAGAAAGCGGTGGCTGAACGTTGCATAAATATCGATCCCCCTATCCGCACAATAATTCCGTTCCCATCTCCATTCAGTAGCTCCAGGCTGGATTAAACTATTGGAAGCTGATACGGCCTTGGCAGCCGACCAAAGGCTGTTTGGATGGCCGAACTGAGTGACTGACTGACTGTTTGAGGATACTACATGGATAGCTCCCTCACTGGTCGGCTCCCGCAAGAATCACACGGTCTCCATTGTGCGATACCGTCCTATGAGCGAAGCAAATTGTACATTGCTGGGGCTTTTCATCGCCTCAGAAGCCCCATCGATGCGGAGCGCATCTGCAGTGTAGGCAGGAGAGCAGCCGCAGAGCGGAACGTTTTTCCGTCTGCGAAGCTCCCCTCCGATGATAATGTCGGTGTGATCAAGACAAGAAGCAAGCCCCATGTATAGCGCATCTGCGGAGTCGAATACGTTTACCACACGCTTATATGATGATATTGGCGACTCGGCTCTGTGAGCCGCGCTCGAATCTGGAGCCTCTCGCATAACCGAATGGCATAACACTTCCCCCGAACCTGGAATAAACTGCGAGCGACGCGTAGTCATTGAATAAGACTGGCCCGAGTGATACGCTTCTCAAAAGCCCCGAGGACCTATCTGGTCGCTCGCCTTTACCCGAGCAGCGAGAAGGGTCGACATTGCTTGACACGACGAGACGATCTCTCGCGGAAACGGGTTTGTGAAACGAAGGGAATCCGCTTCGCAACGCGAGCCCGGTAGAGCTCGAGGAACATTCACCACGAAGTTATTATGTATGCAGCCAACTTCCTAAAGCGTGACCAAAAAATTGATATTTCAGGCAATAAGAAATATTCGGTCAAGGACAACGTTCTCACCATCTACAATGTGCAGACGACGGACGCGGGCAACTATACTTGTAAAGCGTTCATGGGAACCAAACACCTGGTGTCCGTGCAGAAGAAAGAAATCCAATTCCTCGTCCAATGTAAGTGCCTTAAGCTCACAGCCTTGAACTAAAGAGTGCAAGAACTCGAATCGAGTCGATGGCCAAGTCATTAGTACAGGATCGACTTCCACCCCCGCATAAAGCTCATGATCCTCAGCCGCGATATTCATGAACGAAGTTGCGGAAGAGGCTTCAGTTCTGACTCATTTTATTCTGACTGAGTAGGCTTTGCAATTGATCGAGTTCCTCGAAGCACAATAATTTGGGATATAGCTCAACACGAGGCGTCGATGGAGAAGCACGATGAACCGCACGGGGCCGCAATCGAGAAGCGCAATTCTCAGGAAAATTCGCGGTTTTTGGCAAAGCCTAGTTCTGAGGTTCGCACCTCCATCTGATGTTAATGAACCCAGCAGAGCGAACGGAGAGAGGAACGAGGTAGATCACGATTCGGAGGAAAAAACGGAACCGACGCTTCAAAAAGAAGTTGGCAAACACGCCTCCGGGCTTTATTGGGGCTTTGTTGGTTTGGTTGTTAGTCGGAGGTTCCCCTCAACAAGTCTTCTCTGCTCGATCAATGGGCGCTGAGAACGGCCTCCGGAAGTGGGGGCTTCGAATTCGAATATATCATTTTCTTCCGAATATCGCATGAGCGGCTGCAAGAATCTCAAGACGGCAACTCATGGGGAAAAGATTCCCCAGATAAACTCTTCGTTCTCGCGCTCCCTCGAAGACATGCAGCTCAAATCAGAATTTAGCATCGCAGTCCTCCTGATCCCTTGAGGACACGCGGGTTCTTCCATGCAAATTTTAAGTTTTCCTCGGCGCCTTCTATCTCAATAGGCATTTTTTCGGATTGGATGGAGCGCTCATTGATATTTTCGAGCAGCGATGAGGTCGGGCGCAGCCAAAAAGGGGCATTTCCTTTCTCTCAAATGAAGCGTTGATCATCGTGCTCCCGTTGACTTTCGACCATCGACGAAAGACGGGAGGGCAACCGTGGTCAGAGAGTCGGTGGAGATGAAGGGCAATAGGCATGATAAAAGGTCTCGGCGAGGGCCGCGAGAACACAAGAAGAGTAGTGGCCGCTCGACCGCCAGCAAGAGCAGCACAAGGAGGAGGTGTATTGAGAATTAATAAAGAATGCCCCACTTGGGTGGCCAGTCATACTTTGCTCCTCTCCCTTCGGCTACCCTCTCGGGCCTTACCATGCCTTCGCTTCCATCTCTTTGAACGACGCCCTCGATTGTGCGAATCAAAGAGAATTCTGTGCGGTTCCACTGCTTTTACCGAGGCTATGTACCACCGTTGAACTGCCACAGCCTTCGGGTAGAATGGATTCAACGGATGTCAGCGGCACTCCGACGCCTCTTTTGTGTTCGTCGGTAGCATCGGCAACCAGCCATCCAGACAGTCTCCGAGGCAGCCAGCTAAACTATTGCCCTCTGACCAAGCGTGGCGGCGGGCAAACAAAGCGTACCGAATCTTTCCGATCCTGTCCGATTTACGATACTGGCTCGTTTGCTGCTCGATTTTCGTCACGCCGCCAGCCTCCGTACGTCGCTGGATGAAATAAAAATGAAACTCACAATGAATCGACGGAGATCGATGAATTTCCTATAAGTCCAGGCTGCGCTCACGGGTTCGCCTGTGCGTCGCTTTGTTCTTTTTCCAGCGAATGGCCGGTGATCGCGAGCGGCCGTACGGCAGGACTGCTGCGCGATACGTCGACGCAAACAAATTTGATATCGAAACACCCCTCAAATCCCGCAGAATGGCTCGATAATGTTCGTGACGTAGAGACTTAGGGTTCGACTTTGGTTCAAGAATATGGATTTCGATTATTCGAGATTGGAGTCGATACAATCGTCAGAGCTTACTTACGCACAACGACCTTCTTCAAATGAGACGAAATTGTTCAGAGGGACGTCAGAACTCTGAATCGATCCCTCCGAAGTAATCGTGCTGACTTCGCGCTGGTCTCAAGCGAAATCCGAACCTCGATGAATATACGGAAATTTGACCTTTTTACCTGTTGCAGACCGTCCGAGATTCAAGGACACGACTCCGGACGTGACGTACGCGCGAGTAGGCTCGATGGCCAAGATTACTTGCGATGCTGAAGGTGAGCCAACACCTTCGATCCAATGGCTGCGTGGCAAAGAGCACATCTACATGCGCGATGAGTTCAACATCATCGGCAACGTCGGATCCAGTACGCTCAACGTAAGTCAATCGGTGGTTTTCGTAAACTCTCCAATGCTCTTTTGTCTTTGACATTCCTTTCGATTCGAGTGATCTCTGGAATGTGAGCGACCGGCGCACCGGAGGTTCCTTCTCGCGGATTCTCCCCGTTTCGTGGAGCATCAGGTCGAGTGGAAACAAGTGGATCGGAGAACTCGATTGCTTCGAGAGTTCCCTGTGATAATGACTTTTTTTTGACGCACCCTTGATTCTCCGCTCCTCCGCAAGTATGAACACAAACAAACAAACGAACATTCTTGTCCGGTCGACCGACTGCTCCGTCTGAATAATGTTGCTCGTCGCAGCTTTTGGTTCTGTTGTTTTGGGATTCTTATTGCCACACCTAGAATATCAGATACCGCGTCGAGCGAAATTTCAAAGGAGCGTGAACTCTCACTCCGCGCTGGATGGTCAGAGGGTGAGCTCCCATCATTTTCTTAATAATGTCTTCTCACTCTCCGACTTTGAGTGGCTCTCGCGGGATGCACCCACTCTGAACCCGCTGAAATATGGTGTCATCGGCCGCATTCTCATGAGTTTGCCACTTCGGGAGATTTAAATCTTCTCGTAAGTCCCTCCCGGTTCAGCTCCTGAGCGGGGCGCGGGAAGGAGGACGGCAAAAAATCTATCGAGAAAAAATGCTGCCTTCGGTCACTCGCTATATATGTATGTTATATAGGAGCCCGAACGAGGCGAGTCGACGGAATCCTCCCGCCATTCCTTGTCCCTTCGCAGAACCAGATCGAATTTATTTACACCTTCGTGTCGGTAAAAGAGCGATGTGATTGAGCAGAGAGAGGATACACTAAGTATCAAGGGGCTTAGAGGCTATTATCGCTGAATGATTCGAGCGAGCTGAACTCCGTCCGCAGTACATATATCGACCTGTCCGAGAACAACGGGCTTCTCGATTCGCAACCCTCTCGGTAACACCTTATTCCTCCGGGTACCGGAGCTGTTAATTCAATTCGTGAGTCGCTCCTGCCGCTTTAGCCCGGGGTGAGGCTCATACGAACGCTTCTCGCTTCGTCCCAAGCTCCTTTTTTTGCGCGAGCGCTAATTGTGTGAGACGACTGGCTGTAAAAATGTCCCTATTCATCTCTATTCATTTATCCGCTAGATTCCTTCTGGCGCATTATTCCTTCCCTGCCTGATCCGTCTCTGCCTGCTCTGACAAAGGCCGGAGAAGGTCTGTCAGGCTCTGCTAAAAAACAACCAATCCTCGCCACCTAACTCAGCGAACCCGGAGGCAAAACCTTGATGAAGTGAACAATTGACCTGCGCCTCTCTTTTTCCGCTTCTTCTCCTGCTCGTCCGTATATTTCTCCCTCCAACCCTCTAGCTGCCAGTCAGAAGAAACCCGGCGAACTCGTTGAGTAGAACTGGGGAGCTAGGATCTCGCTAGCAGCTGGAGAGGGTCCCGTTTTCACCGTCGAGTGTTTTCTAGGAACGTGTTTCTACTCCAGAGAAAGAGGAAAGCCCTTCCGAGGGATTTTCGGAAGCGGGGTTCTGAGTCTGTTTCCTCCGATGGGCTCACGATTCGGGCAGATACGTTCTAAGAGCCGTGGGCGTACTAGACAGTTCCAGTCGAACCCCGGCTCTCTACCAATTCCTCGCAGCTCATTGCTTGCCTCAGATTTCGAATTTCTGCTGCCTCCGGAAAGTTTACGTGTTTGCCTTGGTAGCCCACGTTCTCCGGACACAGCTCCGCTCTGTTTATACAGAGGGCGACCCGAAGAGTCGGTTTCTATTCTGCCTGGGATCTTGTGGTCGTACCTTCTCGTGACGTTTCCAGTTTATCGGATAGTTCTTGAGCCACTTGAACCTTGCCTCGTACGAGTCGCCAAGACCCCTTTCCGTAGCATGGGGAATCGTCGGGGTCTGCGAACCAGTCAGCCGCAAAGGGAATTCTCGCTGGAAGAATTGTCCCCCAGGAAGCACACAGTGTGGGATCTGCTGGATGATCAGATTGTAGCTTCTATGTACCAACCATCGTCTCGGATGAGTAGTCCGAAGGAGACGCGATTCTACAAGCCGCCTCTTGAGGGGATCTCTCAACATTTCTTCAATTTCGGAGTTTTGAACCAAACAATCGTTCGAGTACGATTCTCACCCGGGGTTGCCACTCTGGATATTAGCCTCCCGTAGTATTCAGGATAGAGCGTGGATTCTCAAAGAGCGACCAGTTATTGCCCTTTTCGAATCGAAACAACGAGCACTCGATCGACATCTTTCCATCCGATGTAGTCCGGTCAGTTGGGATTCGGCGGCACCGGTCGACGAGCTGTGGACATGGCGAGCGCGATGAAGCCTCGATTTGCTCCAGGAATGGCTCCCGAAACCTCAGAGCCACTAGCTCCGAGTATTTCGAACGCATTTTCCATGTCCGCGCTCGGCGAGCAGTCCACGGGAAAGATACCCTTCGTCTTCTTGAATGTCTGGCGTAAATCGGTCTAGCTAGATTCCAGTCTGCGAACTGATGACTCATGCCGGGAGGCCTCCCGGACGGCAAGCTCGAAACAGCAGAGCTACAGCCAAGAGGGAAACGATCAGCCTTCCGATTGAGCTCTCATCTCGCAGAATGAATGAGGACCCGGGGCCCGCGAAAATTAATGCGAAGTCCAATTAGATTCTTTCGGAGCCATGCTCTATCGTCATTCTGAAGTTTTGTTACTACGCAGCATCATTCCTAATAATCTTTTGCTCCACAGATTGATGTGCGCGACCACACTTACTACGATGTCTACACGTGCCATGCTCAGAACGGACTCGGAGTCCGCGAGAAACATATCACGCTGAAAGAGGGAGGTGAGCGTCGCGGGGAAACTGTCAGCAATACTTGCCTCGATTTTTAGCACAGACGAATCCTCACTATGAAATCACTGACGGCATCACTTTCGAGAAGTTGATAAATTTTTCCACTTCTTAGCTCTTGTCTGGTACACACCTCTTTCCTGGTCGAGCTGTTTCCACTCAATGATGAGTGCAGCAGTTGATTCCCGAGATAACAGAGAGCTTTACGACACTCGAGCCTGATTGCAGCACCTTACGTAAAGTCTCTACGGACGATCAAGAACGCTCGGAATTATTTTCCATTTTCTCCCAACGAGCCGATACGTGCCCGAAATTTCGCCTGTCCTCATCGTCGAGCGGCCCCTCACAAGAGAATCTAGACGCTCCCTCAGGGTTCCTCTTCGGCGGGTTAAAGTGACCTTGTGATGAGCGTTCTCCTCGCCGAACCTTATCGGCCTCAGTCACGCTTCCTTTTAGCGTGCGGGGAGCGGAGAACGAAGTTCCCGCTGATAGGAATCTCAGGATCGCATAGATAATGGAATATGTAGATCGTTCAATGAGTTTGATCAGATTCAATGAATCCGCATCGAGGTTTCAGGAGCGGAAAAGGAACCAGTATGAGGAAGAACGGAATTCGAGAGCTCGAACATAGGAGCACTGTTGGCCCTGACCACAGAGAGCACTCAATATATTACGCCGCGCGGGTCGTAGGAGGGGGACAGACCCCCAGTTTTTTCGGTTTGTTCTCTGCGTTCTTTGCCTCTCGTTCCAATCCATTCCCTCTCCTGTTTTTCCTCGGCCGCCGCTCAATCCAAGCTCGCTCCCTTGCTCGGTAGCGTTTTTCCCGTCTCCCGACAAATCAATTGACTCCGGACGCAGCGCAAACCCGACGGTCAGCAGCTGGGGAGAGATTCGCCGAAGTCTCGTCCGAGCTTGAACAACACGGACAACAACTTGAATTACTCCCCATCGCTTTCACTCTCCGTTTGTTTCCGTTTATTTTCGGAAGTTTCTCGAAACTCTATGCGGTAGAGCTCATCGCCTATCATTTTCAGCTCGTTTCTCATACGAGGTATATGTTGAGGCGCTTCTTCGAAGGAGCTGCAGTAGATGCCATAAATCCGCTCCTACAGTTGTAATCTTTCGCGCTTTTATTTTCGTTGCCCCGATTGCCACCGGCCATCGCATCTGAGTGTTGGCTGCCGTCGGTTTCCAGTCGGTCAACTCTCCTAGGTGATCTCCCCGGTTTCGAACCCTCAAGTCCAGCCTATGACCGTGTACTCCCGCTTGTGGTCAACTTCTTCATAAATCGGTTTCGATTCAAGCACCAATAACGGCTGCAGCCGAATAAGCATCCGAATCATTGTCTCGAGGCAATTCACTTCGATTCAAGAACAATGTCTGAGGAATTCTCTGACATGCGCCAACACGGGTCTCTAGAATTGAGTTGATTCTCCCCATGAATCGTTTGATATCGCCGTTGTTGTCCTCTCCGAAAGTCAACCTCACTTGCGTCGCTTTCTTTCCGGACGCAATAATTTTTCCCGATTCACCTTCAGCGATTGCTCTCTTTGTCTGTCCCTACGAAGCGAGCCTCTGCCCCAACCGCCCACCCCCTCCCCCCCGCCTGAAAGTATTGTTTGAGAGGGACTCAAAGCGAACGCTTCATTCCTTTCGTTCTGCGTCCGTCTTCTGGAAAGACATCGGAAATCAATGACTCATCCGCTCGCTGTTCCCTCCCTTCTTATCCATCTCTTCTTTCCCATTTGTGGCTTCTCTTCTTCATCTCTGCGGGTCCTTCGGAACGAGCAGTCGGAATTGAGACGAGCCAGGGAACGCGTAACTGACAGAGCTGTTTGCGAAGTTTTAATTAGCTTAACCTCGATTAGCGGTCGGGATCAATCTCCTCCTCGTCGGCGGTCCACCCGGAATCTATGGAGTGCCTGAGAAGTTTGAAGTTGGATCGAGAGCGGAAAATCCCGCTCCGGTCGCTCCTTATAGGGATGATGATGGTGATGGAGGCGCTCACAACGTCCACATTTGCTCGAAGCGAACTAGTATATCACATTACTCGGGTTTGCTTGTATGTTCAGTCATTGCTTCGGTAAACAGAGTTGGTGGGTGAAGTCGTGTAGCGGGCAGAGGTTGTTGTCGCCGCCGATTATCTAAGCAGATCGGGAATCATACGTATAAAAACAGCGCTTCTCCAACGTTCCCTTGGATGACATCCGAAGGTCATGTGCTCCGAGGCTCCTTCGGGGTGCACACGTGAACTCCCGGCCTGCTCCCGAATAGATGCTCCGAGTCCCTAGGCCCCAGTCGGATCAGGCCTTCGGGGTGAATAGCTCGACGAATTCGGAGCCGTTTGCGACGCGGCGCAGTAATCAGGACGTCTCCACCACGACGCCACGCCGGCAAAACTCATCAGAATTCTCCAGACTCATGTCTAGAGCGCGAATGAGGGCGTGGAGAGAAGAGAATTATTATTCGCCCTCAATTTCTTCGCTCGAGGACTCGTCATCTGGATCTTCAGACCCTAGAAGTGCCGATGGCACGCATATTAGAGACGGAAGTCTGATGGAGTCGACCACGAGAGACGAAACCCTGACACGAGGGCGCTCGATCGATTCCAGCAGATAATGCAGGATCGTTCTAGGCACCACGCCATAGAGTATAAAGTCGAGCCTGAGGAAAAGCGACTCATGTTCGCCGGTCAATGCAAGGAACAACAGTATAGAGCAGTATTTTTCTTATTCCAGGTCCGCCGACTACGCCTCGAGTAAGCGTCATCGACGCGAAGAAAGACACGATAGTTCTACACATCGAGCACAACGACGACGAGTATCTGAATCAACTCGGCATCGACTCGTTCCGGGTTCAGTATAAAACTGACGAAGGAACATGGGAGACGGCTCCCGCTCAAGAATACGCCGTCAATCGTGAGTTTTAATCCTCGTACATACCATTTCTCCGGCGACAGACTCCCGGCCTTCCCGTCTCGAGCACCAAAGGTTCTACTCGAATTTTCCCACGCTAATGAGACTTCGATCTCTGTCGGAGCTACTCACCGAGAAACTTTTCCCTCGTCCCCATATCTCAGCGGAGCTCGTTCCCTCTTTCCTCCGGGCTTCGTTCCCCCATTCCGTTCTTTCTCATAGAACCCTAGCGATGTGATGTCTTGCTACGCGTCAATGGATCAGTTTTATGTTTCAACGTGTCCGAGCAGCGTGCAGCGACCGAGCCGTCAGCCCAGCAAACTGGCGAGCAGGCAAGCTCTACCGCTCGTTGTTGCTATTGAGGCATTTCACCAGCCGATGTCGCCGTTATACTGCAAACGCTTTTTACGGGCTACGCGGCTAAGCAAGCAACCAAAAAACGAAGCAAATGCCAGTCAACGTTCAGTTCTTTAACAGGACCGGAAACATGGCAGCCTCTTGCGACCGTAAAAACAGGACACAAATAACTTGTGTGTTGAACTTATTAGACTAGACTGATCGTAAGACGCCGCCGAGGACGTTATAGGTTTCCGGGCTATGTCGGCAACGTCTGACCGAGAAATTCAGCGGAAGAGACGGGAACGAGAATAGGCCGTCCGCGGAGAGCGTAGAATGTCCTGGAAGTATATTTATATCGATTGTCGACTTGCCTCCCCCTGACCCCCGCTTTCTCATTTTCCAGGCGATCGCAGTCCACACTATCACCTTCGCAATTTGAACACCAACACGAGCTACGTGATTCGAGTGGCAGCCAACAATGCGGCAGGTCCTTCAGACTTCTCTCAGGAGCTTTACCATCGCACGCAGACTATGGACTATCAACGCGCACCCGTCGCGGCCTCGAGTCAACTGTTTTCGTCCACGGTTGTTCTTCTATTCCCGTTGCTGCTATTGAGACAGCGAACTTAGAGGCAACTCAAACCCCTCCCTTACCACGCGTAGTTGAGCCAATGGTTGAGCCAGAGCTGTCAAGTGCAAACATCATCATCAACAACAACAAACCAAATTTCTCTTCGAATCTATCAAACTCTGCATCCCTCGCACGGAGGGAACAGATACAAACGAAATATATGGAATTCATGAGCTAGGTCCGCCGGGACGGCGATATGCCTCTCTCGCTCGGGCAACAAATTCGCTATTCCAATCCAGTCTGCATGATTCGAACGACAGTCGTTCCTTCCTTCGGCATAAGATCATACGGGAAGAGAAAAAAGAACTACGATCAGAGGTCGGTTGGTACGGCGAATTTACTTCGTTACTTCACAACACTCCCGCCGTTGTCGTGTCCCCGATACACATGCTCTCCCAGGTGCTCTTGACTCCTGTCCCGAACACAGACTACCGGAAAGGTTCCCAACAGTAGTTCCTGAAAGCAAGCGAATAGAAAGCCCATTTCCTGAAACCACCGATGCCGCCCGCTTCCCGAATGCAGCCCCACCGGAGAAGATACCATCCAAACCTACCTAGTAGACTAGTCACCTGAGCCTTGTAGGTAGAGCGTCTCCCGTAGCTATCAAGCCTTCCCGGGAGCATGGCATCGCCATGAGCGAGTACTTGTCACAATTGAATGAAAACGGCTGCCAGGTGTCGTCACCACGACGACAACGGCGATTAACGAAGTAAGCCCCGCCAAATGACCTTGTGGAGCTCACGTAAAGGAGGGGAAGATTGAGCGAAACAATTACGAAGCCTTTCGGGTGAACATAATTTCCGGAGGACCCTCTCGTCTCGTGAGTTGGAGACGGTTCTCGGATAGAACAATCGTTTATTATTTCCGATCTGCGGATCGGGGAGCCCACCGTTGTCTCGTCGCGGGCGACATACGCTGTGAACAGACGTAAGCAGATTCCTTTTCGTCCAAGAGTATCTTCCGACTCCACTCATTGCGTGACGTCACACTCGGGAAGAGCTCCGATACCGGATGGTAGCTTCCGAATCGAGAAAGAAAATCGACATATTACAGTGATGACAGAATGCGCGCGTGCCCATGAACAAAATTCCGCGAGAAATCACTCGGTGTATTTTAGCAGTTTCCCTACCTATATACATATGTGAGTGTGCGTGATTTGGGTGAGAGCGTGCTGTGTGTGTATTCTATGGCAGAGTGGAAAACAAAATAATTTTCTATCTTCCTCTTAGAATTACTATGACGTGTTCACCAAGCGTCGATTCTGGCTGTTCGGCAGCACTGACTGAGTAGCTCCCCACCCGGTCTCGTTCCTGTGTACAAACTCCCAGTGACCTGTGTTCCCCGCATCCTGGTGCTCTTTAGTTACCGCCTTGCGAGCGCAACATGTGAATTGTCTCACTTCTCCCGAGTGATTGCCGTTCAGAGCAGATCGACTTTGTTGATAGATGGAGATCATGACGAGGATCCAACAGCGAAATCAATGAAGCTTTTATTATTGAGAGATCATATTTCGAACGAAATAATTATGTATAACGGATCACGGACTGGAGAGAGCGCATATACATATAGCATTTTTTAAAACAACGACGACGATGGTGGCGGAAACGCATCACAGTCCTATCGGAGGAAGAATACTTGAATGAAATCCGGTCGGACCGAGCGAGCCCTCCGGAAGAGAACCGCGTCCCAAGCATGTAGTGGTGAATTCCGGCTCATTTCAATTAATCTCATCTGATAATTCACAATTCCACAACAGAAGACGAGCTATCATTCAATTAGGGCAATCCATCAATCTATCGACGCATCAACGAATCGGCTGAACGGTAGAGTCGTAGCTTCTTACATTGACGATCGCTTTTGTATCATGGCTCATGATGGCTCATCGGCGAATCAGTGATGAATCGAAAAACTGAACATATTTGAACTGCAATCATAAAAACGGAAAGAGAAATTCATCTATTTTGTTACAAAGCTTCCGCATACGTCTTCTACAACATTGCGGTCCACAAGTCTCCTCAGGGCAGCAGCAGCAGCAGTAAACCCCAACTCCCCGAGGAGTTTTCGCAAGACTCAATCTAGCGGGAACTGGTATCGCGCCGAAACTGAAACTGAGCAAAATAATTCATCTCGTCCGAATGCTCTCTGCCTCTGATCTTGATTAGCTCTTCGTGGGGAGGCGAGCCGGCGTCTGCTTGTCGTATCAATGTGTTCCGGGGGTTTGATTTTTAGCGGCAGCTTCCATCCAATAGCGCTCGCTGCTCATCGCTTTGTTGGACAAGGATGATACGTGCTCCAAAAACAAGCGGCCGAACTGAATTATCAGTCGCGACAGACAACTTCGTCGCCGCAGAGAAGGCCACGCTGAGCTTCGGGGGATAATGGATGTATTCGTATTTGCCTGCTTTTTTAAATGAGGATTGAATTTTTCATCAGGGCGTCCCCAGCTTTCCCATAAGAATTGGACCCACTCTGACGCAAAATCTCACTCACGCCAAATCGACAGAGCTAATGATACTGATTAGACTCATTCAAACGACTGTGACGCAAGAGGCGATGGAAGCCCAGGAGAGATACAGTGTAAATACGAAATGTGTTAATTGTGAATAATTTAATACAAAAAATACCCTCAGAAATTAAAAAAAAACTGACGAGTTCACTCCCGGAAAACAATCGAGAGGCAGAAACATAGAAGAATATTTGATGAGACAGCTCCAAGATGCCCTCTGGAAGAATCGAACAATCTATGTGAATTTCCCCAAAAAATGAAAACCCTGTAATGGCATCGATCGCGTATCTTGCCACGGAACAATCATTCAGAGGAAATTCTGGCTCGTCTTCATTAAGAAATGGTGCATTTCACTCCGGATGATCGAGATACAGAATCGTCAAAACACATGCTGTAAGCGGGGACAAGGGAACTGAGAAGTCTATCGTGAATGAATATATCATCGGAGAGTTTTGACAGCAGGAAGAGGGCGACGGATAAATCCCACGGAACTATAAGGGAATGAACTGAGTTGGATATGCGAATCACATTGACGGAAGGGGAAGGTGGTAAATAATCTATAAATAAATATTTACATGTTCCCTTCATCAGACGCAAGCTTTCTCTTCTGTTCTTTCTAAGCTCAGGCTGATCCTCTTATACTCTCCGGCATTAGCTGAATAATTCTGCCTCTCTGAATACAGATACAGATCATGATGACTTCGGGACTAGTACCGCAGAAGACTTCAGGACGAGGAAGAAAATGATCAGAAGCTCTCGAGATCCTAATAGAGGACTTGACAGGCGAAGGGCGAGGATCTAGAGCCACGCTCCTAGGAGGAATCTGGCGAATGACATGGGTCGTATGATTTCTCCGGAATGCCAGCTCGCGTCCGACTCCTGATGAATTTCGAAATGCTCGGAGCCGTCGATGAACACTCGTCACTTCGAGACATTGAATGCCGATGTCGGTGGAAGGGAGCAGCCTAAGCCTACAAGCATTCGATCCTGGATAAGGCTGTGTGAAGGACCAATACGGCGCTTCGCCCCCGGGGCTCACAGGCCAACCGAGGAGAAGCTGTCGTCGGTGCGAAGCGTGGGAGATTCGGGCTACGGCAAAGTTCAACCGCCATTCCAATCGGTACGAATCAGAGTCAGTGGAGCGGATTGCCGAGATTCCCACCGCGAACTGTGAATGATATTGTTGCCGGCTCTCGCTGATCAATATCGTTCCGCGAATTAGGAATACCCACCGATGCATCGGTGAGCAGGAAGTTCCCGGATCGAGCTGATCGCGAAGCTTCCTCCTTTCGCCGGGTTCCGAGAGCTGCTCCGACAGTTTGAGTCCGACATCTGGTTGAAAAAAAGAGGAAGAGGTACAAGGATCGACGCTCAATTTTCGTGGAGGGAGTCGGTCACATTGTTATAATAGAGCTCTGGAGCAAAGCGGGCCGCTTCGTCTTGTATCAGGTCACGAAGGTCGTCTGAGTCAGTCAGACTCCCGCCAGCGACATTCCGAGGGTTCCCGATTCGGAAGACCGGAGGAGCCAGAGCACTCGCTGGCTGTCTGGGAATCGGTGACGGACAAGCTCACAGACAACTGCCTTGGCGCAATGCCAGTTATCGTGCAAGTGAGGGCTGGCTGGCTGGAAGGCTGGCTGGCGCCAACTGCGTCGGATACATCTGTATCGCCGCCAATTCCAAGGGAACAAGAAAGGAGCGCTCTTCTCGCGAATTACCGCAGCAGTAGGATCCCCATGTAGCTCAAATTCATAGACTGTTTTCGGATTTCCGTGCTCGACAGAGGTGCCGGCGCCTTTCCCTATTCAGGCGACGCTTATCTGGACTCTAGCCGCACGGGAGCAATCGTCCGTCGAGTCCGCAGTATTTAACCGTCGCGATTGAAATGTCACGATCAGAAGTATGTCGGATTTCATCTTTTATTATACGAATCAGGTGACCAAGGACGGATTGCTCGAGGTACGGAAGGAAATAAGCACTCGAGTTTTATCTCTCCGTTTTGCTCTGTCTGGGCAAAATAGATCTGCCTCCAGCTCTAGGCGCCATTCGAGTCGCGGCCGCGTTCCCATCGTTTCGTCCTTCTTGCCGAAAGCCATCCTTTTCCCAGAGCCCTGCCCTATTCCACACTTTTCCACGACTTGTTTCCCGTTTCGAGTGGGTTTTTTTACGGGTCCTATCCCTCAGCTTCCTCTCGCCGCTCTCTGCTCTGTACAATCTTCTGCTAAAAAGTGCATAAAACTTTTTATGCTCCCGGTGGAAAAGCCCAAACGAGGAGAGTGCGGATGACGGCGGACCGAGGAGAAGAGAAGGATCACTTCTTAGAGAAAAACGATCACCGAAGAGCACAACGTTCAGTTCAGTCCCCCCAAGCAAAGAAGTATCAACCGACGCCATGATTGTGACTTGTTGATCCCTAAGCCGCCGAGGACTGACTTAAGTAGAGAACTGAAGACCTTGGACGCGGCCGATGCCATCCACGAACCCACATTCTTCGATTGACGCTCGAATTCTCGACGAGAGAATCAGAATTTCCCTGACCATGATATTCGAGCACTTCGGCTCTCTATTCATTCCACTCATGCCACGTTTCCTTTCCGAACGTTCAATTTCAGCTATGAATAGGGTCCAGAGAAGACGGGACAAAAAGGTTGGGCTTCAAGAAACCGTCCTCGTCCACCCCGCAGAAATTATACATACTCAGAATTCAACGGACCATTCTGACCGAGCTCGCTCGAGAGCTCCA